ACTTACTAGCTGTGTGACCCTGGGCAAGTCACTTAACCCTGATTGCCTCACCAAAACAAAAAAAGAAATAATAAGATGAGAGCATACTCCCTACATTGTGATGAAACTATTGTATATTAGATCCCTATATTAAAAAAAAACAACATTAAATTTCATGTTAAAATGCTATTCCAAATATAATATCTTGTTACTAAAGATAAAAGCTCTCTAATAAAAATATTATGGGGGCAGCTAGGTGGTGCAGTGGATAGAGCACCAGCCCTGGAGTCAGGAGGACCTAAGTTCAAATCAGGTCTCAGACCAGACACTTAACATTTACCAGCTGTGTGACCTTAGGCAAGTCACTTAACCCCAATTGTCCAAAACAAAAAAAAAAAGAAAAAAAGAAAAATATTATGTAAGACAATTTTGATATCATACTGACCTGAGGCTTTAGAATCATATTGTTGTTCATCCTCTGTTTTCTAAGAGGACCAAAGACATCAAGAGGGGTCATATCTTGACTTGCTCATGAATTGGATTTAAGTGAGGCAGAGTTGGGAAAATACATCAGCTTCACACTCTCCTCCAGAGTCATTGGAGTCCAGTGGTAGACAAAAATCAAGGCAACTAGCAATGACCCCTAAAGTCATATGCCAGTCTAGGGAAGAGCCTGAATCTAATTTATGAATTCAGACTGTTTTAGAAAGATATCCTCACCAAGTACAACAATCATTTTTCTCTTCTTGTACATGCAATATAAAAACATAGTTTTAGTACTTAAGGATATTCCTTTTTCTCTTTAATAAAGGATATTTGTTTGAATTACCTGGGGGAAAAAAGATATTTTTGCAATTAAATCTCAGGATAAGACCAAGGTTAGATTAAGTACTGATTGATAATACTTAAGGACTATTGAACAAGAATTTTATGGTGTATAAGATGTGGCACAGATAAATTTGCCCAAGTTCTGCTTTAAAAAGGGAGGTGAGGCTGGAAAAAAGTACCTATCGAGGAAAAAGATGGAGGCCCTTTGGCCAGATAGGACAATGGTCTGAGATTCATTGAAAAACAGCAAGGAGCCAGCATGGAAAGTCCTTGATCTTGGTCTCACAGGAGACAGTCTAGAATGACCTTTGAACAAGGAGTTTGGAAGGTGAAAAGAGAGGTCACCTTTTTTTTTTTTTTGCTTACTGTTGTTCCTCTACCCCTAGTCCCTCAGATCTCTAGGTGTTCTTCAGGTAGAGGGCATGGGAGTAGCTCTAGGCCCAGATTGAACCTAGGCTGAAGTTTTGAAGCCACAGGATAACTTAGCTGGGAGAGCAGATAAGGGAATAAACCCTACCCACCCCATTCCTAGCTCTCTGGCCAGCTAAGTCTTTTTAAATTCATGTCCTTATCAGTCCTTCAAATACCAATCATTCCAGCTTCCTGAAAATATCCTTGGCCTCCTTGCCAGCTGTCCGGCCATCTACTGTCCCCAATACTGAGGTAGCAGTGAGAGATGGGCAGTGCAGTCTCAGTCTAGAGACACAGGTATTAACTAGCAGAGCCTAGATTCAATTTCAGGTCTTTTGATGCCCAAATCTATTGATATGTTTTGTTTTCACATCACCAAAATTTCTCCCAATAGCATTCCCCTTCTTCCCTCCCAGAGAGCCTTCCCATCTCACAAATAATATTTTTCCAATATATTTTTATTTATTTTGTTAAATATTTCCCAATTACATGTAAAATTTTTTAACCTTCATTTTAAAAACTTTTGAGGTCTAAATTTTCCTCCTTCCTCCTACCTGTCCCCCCACTTGAGGAGGTAAGCAATATGATATTGATTATACATATGAAGTCACACAAAACATATTTCCATATTAATTCTGTTGCAAAAGAAAACAGACCCATACACAAGAAAAATAAAGTTTAAAAAGTGCTTCAATCTGCACTCAGAGTTCATCAGTTCTCTCTCTGGATGTGGATAGCATTTGGAATTGTCTTGGATCACTGTTTTCATCAGAATAGTTGTCTCTCACAGCTGATCATCATTACAATATTGCTGTTACTGTATACAATCACCTCTGGGTTCTACTGACTTCATTCTATATCAGTTCATATAAGTCTTCCTAGGTTTTTCTGAACCATCCCTCTTATCATTTCTTATCACCATTACTTACAGCACAATAGTATCCCATAAGAATCATACTACAACTTGTTCAGTCATTCATCAATTAATGGGCATTCCCTCAATTTTCAATTCTTTGCCACCACAAAAAGAGTTGCTATAAATATTTTTGTACAACTAGGTCCTTTCCCGTGGTATTGTTGGATCAAGAAGTATGTACAGTTTAGTTTGATAGCCCTTTGGGCATAGTTCCAAATTGTTCTCCAGGATGGCTGGACTAGTTCACAGCTCCACCAATAGTACATGTGTCCCAATTTTTCCACATTTCCTCCAGCATTTGTAGTTTTCCTTTTCTGTTATGTTAGCCAATCTGATAGTGTGAGGTGGTATCTCAGAGTTGTTTTGATTTGTATTTCTCTAATCAGTAGTGATTTAGAGAATTTTTTCATTAATAGCTTTGATTTCTTCTTCTAAAAACTGCTTGTTCATATCCTTTGACTATTTATCAATTGAGGAATGACTCTTGATTTTACAAATTTCACTCAGAACAAATACTATTTTTAAAGAAATGAAAGTAAGGAAGAAAAGGAAGAAGAGAAAAAATAAGCAAAACTGATCAAAATATCAAAAAGGCCTTAAAATATATGCAGTATACCATAGTTATGCACCTCCTAATTCTGCAAAGGAATGGAATAGGGGATATCTTCTCATATTTCTTGTTTGGGGCCATGATTGATTGTTCTTTGAAATTTTGCAAAACCCACTTTTCATTATTTTGTAGTAATTTCCATTTATCTTGTTGTAGTCAATGGGTATATTGCTTTCCTAGATCCACTTACTTCACTCTGCATCAATTTTAAGTCTTACTATGCTTCTCTCTTTTCATCATATTCATTGTTTCTCACAGTATGCCCAATTACATTAATGTACCATCATTTGTTTAGCCATTCCTCAATCAATAGGCATCTAGTTTGTTTCCAATTCTTTGCTATTAAAAAGTGCGATTATATATTGGTATATAAGGAGACTTATTATCAATGGCCTCCTTAGGGTACATGCTTAGTAGTTGCAATGAGATGGTGCAATGGATAGAGCTTTGGACTTTGAGTCTAGAAGACCTGAATTCAAATCTGACCCTCAGATACTTACTAGATGTGCGATCCTGGGCAAGTCATTTAGCCTCTGCCTCAGTTTCCTCATCTGTAAAATGGAGATAACAATAGGACCAACCCTTAGAGTTGTGACAAGAAAATTTGTAAAGTGCTTTCTTTAAATACTAGCTATTATTATTCCTATGTGGAACTAAATTGTCCTTCTTAATATTCCTTATGTATTGTGGGCTGGGACTAACTCAAGCTGGTCAGTTTGGCAGTGTATGTTCAGTATTGAAATGAAATAGGTCATTCAACTGGAAATTTACTTAGCTATAATAGCAGAGTAAGGCTATTCAACAAGGTTATGCAGTGAGGACACCCCAATCTGATTCAACTGACTAAAGCTCTCCTGCCTCTGAATTGTCCATAGTGGTCTAACAGCCAGTCATCAGAGAGGGTTTGGAGCTTCTTTTGCCATTTGGCTTTTTTATTCTATGATTTCAAGTTAAAGAACTACCCCAGCCCACATGTCAAGGGACTTTTTTTAGGTATTCCTTCTAATTCCACATGATGCACAACATTTCACCACATATACTTGGAATGCTCTAACTTCAATAATTCCTTGTTATTGTTCAGTCCTGTTGATTCTTCATGACCTCAGGGGCTTTCTTGGCAAAGATATTGGAATGGTTTGCCATTTCCTTTTTCAGCTCATTTTACAGATGAGGAAATTGAGGCAAACAGGATTAAGTGTCTTACAGCTAGTGTCGGAGGCCAGATTTGAACTCACAAAGATGAGTTTTCCTGATTCCAAGCCCCACTGCCACCTAAGCTGCCCTAACAATTCCTAGCTTCCCTGAAAGCTCAGCTCAAGTATTATCTCTTCTAGGAAACCTATCCTGCTTCCCTAGTAGCTAACCTTCTTTCCCTCTGGAAATTATTTTTTCCTTCTGCAGGGCAGGAACAATTTGACTTTTTTGATTTACTAGTGATGCTTTTAATAAAGGCTTCTTGAATGAATAGAACCTCACCTCCTCCTAGATGTGGCTCACCCAGAAAGGACAACTCCACACCTCATTCTTCACTGAGGCCTCCTGCATGCCGCCAGCACCTGAGAGGAGGCATGCAGAACAAGACAAGAGAATAAGTGGTGCAAAGAGTGCGTTTGAAAGAGAAGAGGGTCAAATACCAAGAGACCAGAGAATGCTACAATCTCAGAGCTGGAAGTGATCTCAAGAAATTCTTTTGCCCAGTCTCCTCTTTGTACAGCATCCCTGATAAACAGTTACTTATCCAGCCTCTTCTTGCAGACCTTCAAGGAAGAGAAAAGCAGCTTAGTTCTTCGGACATCTCCGGTCTCATTGTTAGGCGGTTCTTCATTTCATCAAACCTGAATCTCCCTCTCTGCAATTTTCTCTACTGCTCTTAGTTCTGCTTTAGGGGGCCAAACAGAACAAAGCTGATTCCTAGTTCCTTTCCTCAAGACAACCTTTGAAGTACTTGAAAAAAGGCAATCACATGCCCCCGACTCTTCCCTTGTCCAGACTAAACATCCCCAGTTCTTTTAATCAGTTCTTGTTTGTCGCGGTGGAGAGTTACCCTCTTCCGACGCTGTAAATTCAATGTCTTTCTGAAAATGTGATTCCTGGAACAGGACTCAGTCCTGGACGTGGTCAGGGTACCCACCGGCGCACTGCCACCATCTCCCCTGAGACTTAGCACAACCCCCTGGCACAGAGTAGGTGCTTAGCAAATGTTTGTTGACTTCACCCTAGATCGGGTACCAAAGATCTTGGCCTCAGCCCCTTTACCTGAAGGCTTTGAGTCCCACGCCGGGGGCCTTCCACCTAAGGCCCTGGGGACATTTAGGGGGCGGGACTCGGGGTGAGAGGGGAGGCCGGGACTGGGCTGGGCCCGCCTCCCGGGCCGCCTCTGACCTCAGGCTCCTCCTTTCGTCCTCTCCGCCCCTAGCACCTTCGGAGCGGAGGGAGTTGGCGGGGACAGGGGGGTAGGGAGGTGGCCGCGAGGTGCAGGAAGCCTCCGGCAGGCTACGGAGCCGGGCGGCGGCGGCGGCGGCGGCGGCGGCGGCGGCGGCGGCGGCAGTGGCGGAGGTGGCAGCAGCGGCCGGAGCCCGGCGGGCGAGGGGATCCCGGAGCCCAGGCGCTCCGCGGACTGCAGCGGGGCTCGCTCGGGAGCCTGGCCCCGGCCGGCCCCGCTGGGACGCCCTCCCGTCCCTTCCCCTCCGCGCTCCCGGCCCTGGGAGGCATGGGCCGGCCCGGGGACACCTGGCGCCGGGCCCTGCTGGCCCCCTAGGAGGGCAGGAGGCGGTGGCGACGGCAGGTGGAGCGGCGGAGAAGGCGGAGCCGAGCGGAGCCGGAGGGCCGGGCATGGCCACCACCGAGAGGCTCTACGAGCTCTGGATGCTTTACTATGCCAAGGTGAGCCAGCCCGGTCCGGGCGGGCGGCCCGGCAGGCCGCCGCTGCCGCCGCCGCGCCCGGTGTCCGCTTACCGGCCCCCCTCCCCCGCAGGGTGCCCTCACTTCCCTCTTCTCCTTCCCCTCCCTGGTCCCTCACCTCCCGTCCGCCGTCCCCCGTGTCCCTTCACTGCTCCCTCACTTCCCTTCTTCCTCGTGTCTTCTCACTTCTCCCTGGGTCCCCTCACCTCCCTTTCCCTCGTGTCCCCTCACTTCTCCCTATGTCTCCTCACCTCACTTCTCCCTGTGTCCCCTCACTTTTCCCTCTGTGTCCCTTCACTTTCCTTCTCCCTCTGTGTCCCCTCACTGTTCCCCGTGTCCCCTCACCTCCCTTTTCCCGTGTCCTCTCATTTCTCCCTCTGTCCTTTCACTTCTCCCTAGGCCTCCTCACCTCACTTCTCCCTCTGTCCCTTCACTCCTCCCTCTGTGTCCCATCACTTGCCTTCTTCCTCATGTCGCCTCATTTCTCCCTCTCTGTCCCCTCACTTCCCTTCTCCTCCATGTTCCCTCACTTCTCTCTCTGTCCCCTCACTTCCCTCCCAGATTGTCTCCTCACTCCCTCTTTGTCTTATTCTACCGGTGTGTTGTCCTCTCTCCAATGTACATAGCCTGTCATATCATCCCTTGTGCTCCCTCTCTGTATCTCCCTTGTTCATCCTTTAATTAGCTTTCCCCACAGACCAAAGAAACAGGTTTCGTATCTCTTCCATAGAGTTTAGGAGACCGTCTGTGTTCCCCTTTCCCCTTTATCTACTTGTGTGGTGGGGTGGGGAGGAGAGTTGAGGTGGCAACTGATTTTTGAGGTTAGTGAAGTGTGTGTGTTGGGGGGTGGGGTGGGCCTGAGGCCAGGGAAAAGACCTGGATATGTCCCTGGATATGGCTATACATGCACGTGTGTGTGCCCATGTGTGAGCATGTATTACCACCTGTAGTGACACAGTGCACATCTATATCCCTTCCTTATCCACAAAGCCCTCAATGCTGCTGAATTTATAATACTTCCTCAAGCCACAAGGCAAGGTTTCCCATTTTCGCCCCATACTCTTAATATCCCAAGGTTCAACCCTTCTCTGAGGATGGGGGAGAATCAGTGTTATCAGTATTATCAGTCTCTATCTCCAAACTCCCCAACTTTGGCCTCTGGGCTAACCCTTGCTCTCCATGTATCTACATGCTCCAACCCCTGTAGGATTCTTGGTTAATGGGGAGGAAAGGGAATTGACAGGCTGTGCAGGAAGACAATGGAGGGGACCATGGAAAGGGAATAGCACAGCTAAAACTTTAAATTTAGGTTTAAGTGGAGTCAAGTTCCAGAGATAGAAAAACTCTGGCTCAGGAGAGGTTGGTATGTCTCTTATTTTCAGTAGGGGTTCATCCTTGTGACTGTGGACAAGTCTGTTTCCCTCTCTGAGCCTCTATTTCCTCATCTGGAAAATGGGTACAACAATACCTGTACTTACCTAGCTCATGGGGTTGTTGTGAGGATTAAATGAGCTAATGTTGCAAACCTTGAAGCACAGTGTAAAAGTTCACTGTTACTATAATTATATTCAAGGAGGTCAGCAAGGGAGGTGGAGTTCCTGAGCAACGTGTATAAATGGGATTTGGGGGTCCAAGCTGAGAATTTTTTGAAGTCATGGGTGGTGGAGGGGTATTATGGATAGGGATCTGTGTCTCAGGATGATTGTCTGTCAATTCAATTCATCTCAGTTTTGCTAACATTTACTGATCACCTGCTTGTGCTTAGCATCTGGGTACAACAGAAATGAGAACATAGACCCTTGCCCTTGAATTGAAGGGACATGGATGAATAAGTTCACAAATAACACTTATGTGATTTATCCTGGGCACGATTAGATGTTTTGACCAGGCCCTTGAGGCCAGATTTTGGGGAGAGGGTCATTGTTGGTGGGGTGGGATGGGGGATACCTCCATGAAACTGGCACTCCAGAGCATAAGAAAAACACAAAGAAGAGTTAGAAGTGTGCTAACTTCTTTTAGTACTTTTCATTTGTTTGTCTTTTTATTCACTGATGATTAGTCAATAATCAGTAAACATTCAAGTACCTACTGTGTACCAGGCACTGTGCTAAGGCTGGGGATACAAAAAGAGGTAAAACACAGTCCTGCCCTCACAATCTAATGGGAGAGACAGCAAACAACTATGTAAAAATAAGTTATGTATGGGATAAATAAAAATTAAAAAGATGGAAGGCACTAGAATTAATTCTTGTAGAAGATGAGATTTTAGTTGGGGTTCTCCACTTTCTTTAGCTAAAGAAGCTCAGGCCTGGAATGGTTAAGAGACTTAAACTCTGGGTTCTAGTCACCTAGCCCAGGCTTCACTTCAGATTTGAAAGGTTATAGGATGGTAGAGTTTTAGAGTTGGAGAGGACCTTAAAATTTAGCTAGCCCCACCTGCTCATTTTATAGGTAAAGAACAGAGGTTCACAGAGATGAAGTGATTTGTCCAAGATCACACAAGAGGTAGAATTGAGATTCAAGCCCAGGTCTTCTGAAGGACTTTTTCAGCTATTCCAAGTGCTTCTGGGGGAGGGGGAAGGAGGGGGGAATATTGCAGGGAGAGTGATGAAGAGAAAGGCTTCCACACAGTTTGTCTTCCTTTCTCCCCACCACTCCTTAACTTGGATGGTCTTGGGTTGACAACTGGACTTCCTGTCCATCCATTAGAGACTGATCTAATCAGATTTCATGAAAACTCACCATGTCCCAGGCTCTTTCTCTTAGAAAACTGGTAACTCAAATGAGAGGCTTGTAGAATGACAGAGTTGGAAGGGATCTTAGACCATGAGATGTCAGGGTTAGGAAGGACATTAGAATACAGCAGAACTTAAGAGAACATCTTATCCAGTTTGCCCAGGATCATCTGGCAAAGTTATGGCACTCCTGACTCCCAAGTCCAGGGCTCTATACAAGATTCTATGCTGTCTAAGGAGGAATTGGGCATTGTCCTGTTTTTCCTGAGTCATGATGGGATTAGTTGAAGGACAGCATGAGAAGAAGGGAGTAGAGAGTTCTGTGGGTGAGTGATAAACAGGAGGGAGGGAGGTGAGAGGAAAATCTGATCGTGACTCTCAGTTCTCTGGTGCTAGCCCTCTTTACCTCACTCGAGGTTTTCAAGCAGTGGACAGATGACCACTTAGTGAGTGTGTAGTAGTGAGGATTCTTTTTGGAGGGGTATGTTTTGGTTTAGATAGCTGCTCAGTATCCTTCCAGCTAGAAGGTTCCATGATACTTCTAAACCTCTGTATCACTCCCTCCTCATTTCATCTCAATTCTGTCTATTTTACTTCCTCTTTAGATATGGAAACTAGCCAGTTACTACCTGGTTGAGGAAATCTTTGAACATTTCCTCAGCCTTAGATTTGGAGTTTACTAACCAGCTCTGGGACCTGGGGTGGATATTTCATAGAGTCATAATATCATGGAACTTCAGAACGGGAAGGGACCTCAAAGATCATCTACTATAACAAGACCTGAGAATTAACTTCCCTTGACAAGGTGTCATCCAGCTTTCAACTGAATAGCTCCAGTGATGGGGAATTTGCTACTTCATTTTCCTCAACTATAAAATGAGTGGGTTAGATAGGTGACCTCCAAAGCCCCTTCTAGCTTTATATCCTATGTTCCTTTTCTCCAGCCTAAAGAATCCGATTTTCTTTCCCTCTTGTCCCCGTATAATGGGAAGGAAGTATAGGAAACTATTTCCTGATGTCTTTGGAGACCAATATACATTGAGTGAGTGTAGGACATTGCCAGGCTAGTTGAGGCAGTATGATATAGGGAAAAGAATATTGGACTGATAGTCAGGAGACTTGGGTTCAAGTCCCAACTACTACAAACTTACTCTGATTTTGAACAAGTTACTTTCTCTGGGTCTAAATTTCCTCATCTGTAAAATGGGACTATTTCTATCCTCCTTATCCCATAAGATTATTGTGAGGACCAGAGAGATAATGTACTTGGAAATTTAAAAGTGCTGATTGGATGTAAAGTAACAATTTGAGGGAAAGATGAGGGAAGAATGTTGGGGAGGGAAAGGCCCTTCCTTAGAAATCATCTAATCCAGGAGTTCTTAACTTTTTGTGTGTCATGGATGTCCTTGGCAGTCTGGTGAAACCTTTGGACTCCTCAGAATAATGTTTGTTCTCTATATTCATAATTTAAGGAAATGCTAAATTTCATTTGGTGGAAAATAAAAATGTATTTTTCCCCTATCCATGTTCATGGACTCTCTGAAATGTATTCATAGACTTAACTCTCTGCAGGTCTGTGGACTCCAGGTTAAGAATGTTTAATCTAACCCAATCCTCACATTTTACCAAAAAAGGAAACTGAGCCTCAGAAAAGTTCAGTTTGCCCAAGGTCATGCAAAGATTGTGTTGGTGTCGTAAAAAGAAATGAATGTGGCATCTGGAAAGACAGAGCAAAAGTATAGGACCTTAGAAGAATGTTTCTTGAGTGACACCATGTTGCAGTGGAAAGAACACAGAATTTGGAGTCACAGAGATTTGAAAACAGAGATCTAGGTTTGAGTACTGAATTCAATATGTATCTGACCTTGGGCAGATAGGACTTTACTTCCCTGAGAGCCTGCTTCCTCATTTTTGAAAAGAGGGGTAATAAGCTGTATACTCCTTTAGCCATCAAGGTTTGTTGAGAGGAAAGTGTTTTGTAAATATTAAATGACTAAAGAAATGGAAACTGCTGAAGATTCACAGGTGTGAGAGAAATAAGGCCATGCCATTCTTGTCTCATGACATCCCAATATTCAGGCAGGTCCGGCTCTGTCTCACCAACCCCATGAGTGACTCCATTTTCCTCCTGGACTTGTTCTGCCTTTGGACAGTAACTTGATTGGGAAGAGCCCAGTAGAAATTGGACCAGACTTGAA